CTTAACATCGTACTGACAATCTTTTGGCTCGTATTTACGAGTCGGTCGCGGTTTTGCTTTCTTACTAGAACAACTTTCCACATTTGAGGTTTGCTCACTTTTAGGATTACATTCATCAATGTCACGCTTCTTTTTAAGAAACTTATCCATTTTTATGGGTGAATTATTCTTAACAAAGACAATTATATCAACGGTAATTATTCTGAAACTTGTAAAAGGCACAATACATTTACTCTTGACGGCAGTTCACAAGACACGACACGCCCACTCACCAATGCCTGTTATGCAACACTGCCAGTTGCCACGTGATGAAAGCTACTGCCGGTGTTAACATGCCGTTCCAGCCACATTTGTACGTGTTTTAAACTCGTGCAAAACTTGCGGACCAGAAGTTAGTTGCAAGAAAAGTAACTTGTAACTATCATAATAATGCCGCAACGAAACAAGCGGAGTGTTCGTAAAGAAATGGTATAATATAGTAACTTAGTATACATTTGCTTTTCATATCTGGATAGATTTTTCAGGAATGCTACGGAGCGCACCTAAAAAAGCTCTGGGGTGCCCGGGCGCACTGTTTGAGAACCACTGCTTTAGATCCTCAGCTAATTATATGACTTTGAATAAATAATGAAGTTAACATTTAAAGAAAGTTCTAAGAACTGTCACAGGACTGGTTTGCTTGCTCATGGTTTCTGTTTTGATTTTGCTAGTTTAAAAAAAACTGAGCTGGATAAAATACTTTCCCTGACCTGGAGGCTACCAGATGACCATCTGTATATTATGTTCTCTTTTTCATTTTAGTGGGATCCTCACATTTTACATCTGTGACACTTATTTTTGTTGCAAAAATCATTACTCTTTTTAATGCAGTTGATCCAACATATTAAAAAATCTCATGAGTAAAAAGAGCTAATTTTGAAGATGTTAAATGTCTTTCATGAAACTTAATCTGTTGCTATATGTCAGTTAAACTGGATAGCCTATGAATCATTGAGTACATTGTCAAGTGGCTCTTCTGTAAATGCAAATGTTTTGAGGCATGATTTTCAGTACATTCTTTAAAACAAGAAATGGGTTTGAATTACCTTGAATATTTTCTTATTAAAACCAGCATTTCATTTTTGCTTTTTTATGTGTATTCTCTGGGAATTGCAAAGCCATGTTAGTAACCTCCAGAGATTCAAAATCATTATGAATGACTTAGGACTATTAATAGAATCAATTTTAAGATTAATATAAATAAAATAGGCTTGCTGTAAGTAAAGTTTAGCTTTACTTCAACATATTTTACTGTTGTGTTAGCTTAAGTTGCTAAAAAGTAACTTACTAGCATTGGCTGTTGGCTGACAGTTTAACTTAGTTCCTTAGTGTTCAATAGGCCCATGTTCTGTTGGTGCCTGTGGGTGTGTTATGTATCTAGTATATGCATGTATTTGTATTTTGTCCTTAGTACTTTTATTAAAGTTTTATAAAAGTAAACACTGTAGGTTGTACATTATTTTTTGTTGAATTTATGGACATGTTCAGTTTGTTGGAATATGTTAGTATGTTACTTTACTAATAGTATTTAGTGGTATCTAGAACAGTGGTCTTAATCATGGGAAAATAAATTATACAGCTATCGTACACTACTAAACAAAAAATTTTATGGTGTAACTCTTGTTGTGAAATACTATACTAGCTTCATAAAATGTTCAAGAATTTGTATTCTTTTGTTCACTTTCTGTATATTGGGTATCAGAAATATAACCTCAAAGAAAAAATACTGTTAGAATTTGGAGAGTAGGTTTTGACATGTATTATTTTTGTGTACATAGCCATAATGTTTTTGACTTGAATATTCTTAAATGAAGTATTTTTATGAATGCCGTATTGATAATTTTATATTGCGTAAAAATCTAATTGGTATGAAAGTCATATTTGAACTTGTTTTTCTATCCAGTTAAAATAAGTGTTTTGTGTTATCACCCAACCTCAAGATTTTTTGTGATAAAAAACAAAGTTTGTACAGCCTAAATTAGATCTTGTTAGATCAGATTGATTCTTTCACTGTCATTTTTGGTAGTGTACATGACCATCTATATCTAACATTTTTTACTAGATACTAATTATTTATTAAATTGTATCCTGCATTTTGGCTGAGTTGCTGCAGTCTCCATTGGTTTCCTGAGAAGAACTGTGTTTGTATATAGTAGTGGTTGGATTCACTCCTGGGTCTCAGGAAAAAAGGATGTTGTCGTATCCACTCCTCTTAGATCTTCCCCATTAAGACTTGAACCAACTGATCTAATTATTTGATTACTTTCAAGAGATTTTGATTTGGCTTACTCCTATGCTAGTTTAACTCTTTCAACTCGGGCTCGGTCTGTGGGACCGACCTCATAACCATTTTGTGCTTGTTATAGTTTTCATGCTACAACTTTTAAATTAGTAAGCTAATGTTAACGAAATTTGGCAGTTTATCAGTAAACATTACAATGCTTTCATACACAAAATACCTAATTTGTTTTATTAAGTCTTAAGGTTTTTAAAGCAATATTTTTCGCATCCATTTTTTTTTCTTTTCACATCTTCCCTATCTATCATGCAAAGTAATTTTCATCTTAGCATTAAAAATATTTTTATGTATCAGAAAATTTTGAAATTTCACATGTGAAATCTTTATAATGTCCAAATAGTTATCAAACATTTCTTTTAAAAAACTTTGTATTTTATCTGTTATTTTTAGTAATTAATCTGTTCAGGTTTGGTAAATTTAACCAATCTCACAACTACCACAAAAAATTAGGCAATAAACATAAATTATGCATCTTTCATTCTAGAATGAACACAAATTATAACACGAAAACATAAATGTTTAGATGAAATAGTTGAAGTCTCATAAGATTATACATTTATGTATATGTATATTTTATATTGACCTTGCATCCATGCCTAGCTAACAATACAGAAGTTACAACGATGGGACTCGTGTGCACTCATGTTACCGTATCATATAATATAAAGGTGACCTTTGGTCTGTACAAAGTAACTTGTCTTGGCTGTGTTTTAGTTGACTAGTATTTTGGAAAATACAGTCACATTTCACTTATTATACATTATATGTGTATATAGATTGTTATTTTGAAATAAGTTCTTAGTAATTTTTCCTAAAATATAGAAGAGTAAATAAAGAAGTAAAGCAAACAATTATCTCTTCTAGTTATGACCTTTGTACTCGGTTGC